GCCCCGCCCCCGCCCCCTGGTCCGGGTCGGCGCCTCTTTCAGATTGCTCAGTGCATGTACTCACTGTGCCACACTGACCGGCCGCCAGTATCGTATTTATAGAAAGCTATTCCCATTGGCATTGCGTGCCGGCGCTATGGTTGCGCGCTCCATTTCGAGCGACAGCCGATAACAAAGCAGTTATGCGCAATGATTGGGGGAAAAATGAATCAGTTTACACACACGCACAAATTTTTAGTCTATGCATTCCATACATTCTCTGTTTTTTTGTTTGTGTGTGTGTGTTTTTTTTTCTGTGAAGCTTGGTCGATCTACCTGATGAGCTGTCTGTATTTTTTGTAATATTTTTTTAATTTTAGTTATTCTCTTTTTGCCTGAAGAAATTCGTTTCGTTTTTTTATTTAGCCCTTTTCAACTCACTGAGAAGACGACTCCTTTAAAGAATCATTTTTCTCAATAATTGCTTTTGTTTCCACGCTTCTGCCGTGTCGCTCTGGTCGCTATATACCTCATCCAAGCTAGCTCCCCTCTGCCGCGGCCGTTACCGAGAGCCAGCCCGAGTGGCGCTCCGTGTGAGTGGCGTCCAGTCGGTTGTCGAGGGCGCGGCTCGGCGCGTCGCTCACAGACAGAGCTTTAAGGGGGACATGTTGCTTATCAGCCCTATCCTTATTTTGCAGCGGTCGGTGAGGGGGTGGGGGCAAAAGGAGATATAGATGCTCGGGGCATATCAGCGAGAGGTCAGCGGGCCACCGCGGTCACCAGCACCAATAAAAGCGACCTATGCGCAAACGGGATCAAACACATTTTTTTCCCTTTGTGGTTACTTTTCATAACTTTTGCCGACGAGGATAACCATCTTGAGACCAAAATAGGAGCGAGTTGTCAACGCTCTCTAGAAATGGCCTAGTTTGTTGACCGTGGTAGTGACCCTGGCTACTTTGTTTTTTTACCACCCCGAAATTACAAACACTAGAAACCCAACTGTGTGAATGTCACACACTTGCAGTGTGTGAATGACATTCGAACACATGGAGGCACAAGTGTGTGAATTTCAAAGGAAAATTCACGCCTTTCCTTCAAGTGTACGAATAGGTATTTACTCCTACAAGTGTACGACATTCACACACTTTGTTGTGAATTCACACGCTTTTCACTGACCGTGCGACACGTTGTTGATGCAGTCCAGGTAGGCGCGGCCCTGCTCGTCGTACATGTACTGGGCCTCGGCGCGCACGATCTTGAGCGGGTCCGAGCGGAAGAAGAGCTTGCACGACTCCCTGCAACAAACAAGTCGGCGACGTTAGAGATCGACTGGAAAGTACGTCCGTCGCATTCGCCATTTAGAAGATATGGTGAATAACAAGCTTACACTGGAAATTTGGATTTCCTGTGTAGCCAACTCAAGTTCTCATAGCGCCTGATGGGTAGGCAACATCGCGCCTGCAGTGCACGCGTGTACCGCGGGGTGGCCTACCCCGAGTATCGCGGGCGCCGAGATCCTGTGCACTTCGCCGAGCCGATTCGACCGCACCCAGCGCCCCCGATGAGTTGGCAGTCGGCGTGCGGAGGGAAAGGGTTGGGTGCAGAGTAGGAGGAAGACTCGTTGGCCTATATTTTAGCTTTTGTGAGCACCGAGCCCCCTCGCGCGCACCCCTCCCTCCAGACCACTCCCAGCGGGACAAAAGGGCGAGAGGCAGGCCGCAGCCCACTCTACAGACCTGTGTGGCGGGTCGGCCGTTCTCTCGGGGCGCCCACTGCCTCCACTGTGAGAAACGTCCTCGTACATTTTACAATCTACTTTGGAATAAAAATTTACAAGATTCCCAGCGCGAAATGTATGACATATGAAATGTATGACAGCTCAAATCTTGCTCCTCGATGAACCCCGCAGTAATTTGTAGTTTTACAATAATTTTAAATTGTACGACACGCTGCTTCACGGCAAATTTTCCCGCAATAGCTAGAACTAGTTTGACAGTGTCCTCCCCTATTTCGAAGCGCGCAGCCATATTTTTCGCACCGCGAAACCTTTTCTCTATCGGGGCGGG